TCTGGTGTAAGTGCATGGTTTGAAGAAGAGAGGCAGTTACAGGGGATATAAAGCAACTCACCTCTCCAACCATTCTTTAGGTTTCTCCCACTGAGAGACCTCTGTCCTACAGTTATAATAGTATTTCTTGCCAGACGAACTGATATGCTCTGACCAATCATCTGCTGGCTCGCGTGGCTGGAAGAGACAGGAAATATGCAGGCACATCAAGAAACGAAGAGCAGGGAAATTTGTCATATGAGAGAACATTAGGGATAGGGATGAGTCAGGATGATTTATTAGTGTGCGCGCTACTTTTTTTTTTTTAGTTGTAGCGTCATCAGAAATGCAGGTTCATTGCAATACAATTAATAACAGTTATACTGTAATAACAGTGCTGGGATGACTTCTCACATTGTTTATTATCACCTACAGTAATTTAAGTTACTAATAATGCCTAAACAAAAGCATAAGCTAAATATAGGTTAAAAAAAAGAAGTATAAAACACATAAAAAGCGCCAAGTTGGGAAATGTTCCTGCCGGTGGGTGCTGTTTACGGTCTCATAATATCACTTATTGGTATCTTCCTCAAAACCCCTGGTCAGTCCACTCTTAATTCTAATGCCCTAGATTGGAGTTAGCTGATCTGCACTCTTGTCAGTGTTTGTTAAGCTCATCAAGTCACTATAAAATGTAATACTAGATCTGATAAGGCCTAACAGTAAATGAGAACGATGTGCTATTACAGCTTCTATTTGTTGTGAATCCCGTAATTATGATTGCTAACTACAAAACAAGCTTGCACGCTGAGACGTGAGCTCTCTAGTCACACCATTACCTCGGTATAAGCTACTATTTTAGTTTAACTCTAGAACAATTTGCCAAAAGCAAATAATTGACCTCTATTACTTACAAAGTATGAGGCGTAATATATATCATAGTTTCAGTTAGCAAGCAGGAACTAGGCCTGTGAGCACTAGTGTTATGCTAAAACCGGCTAATCCAATGTTGACACTATTTTGGCTTCTCTCCCAAATATGTGTCAACTTTCAACGATAAAATACTCCTCTGTGTACCTGGTAGGCTTGAGGATCTCTTCGATCATTACACCTGTGAAAGACAAAAAAGTTAATACAACGTTAGTCAGAAACGCGCTCTCTGCTAGCCAGCTACAATGCTAACGTAGAGAAATGAAAACAACTCGCTGTTAGAGGGAAAAAAAGAATTTCTTCGAACATAATATGCACTTAGTTTAGGCTTTAAGCGATTCGCTGAAGGGTGTAAACTGGAGGTAAATGTGTGATTACCCATCATTGAGTCTGGATGGATTCGTTGCATGCATTACCATTAATGCTGCAGTGATGTGGAAGTGAAGTGTTACTACTGAAGCAGTTCTGCGGCACTACAGCTCTCTTTAGTGGTACTGCCTGCAAACACACACTACAATATCTATAAAAGTAGGCTCTGCTGCAGTGCTACTTCGCTATACGGGAAAGAGCTGACGGTCCATCGCTTCGTTTTGCTCGCGACTGCGCCCTGCGAGTGCACGTCCCGAGCAGAGACTAGTGCTCGCGATCAGCGCGCGACGTGCACGAGCAGACGACTGCAACGGAGCATAAAGGCGCATTTGATATTATTATCCTTTTAACTACTAGATGGCACCAAACCACCTCTTTTCTAAAACCTCAGTTCATCCATACTAATAAGCAAAGATGACTTTAGATAAACTAAAAATTGTGCTTTGTTTTGTTATTGCTGAAGAGTGTTTCTTCTCCTGCGTTCTACTGTGCAGACGTGAATTTACTTTTGCTTCAGCCTGAGGTTTATTCATTACACTTTTTGGTGTGAAAGGGCTTTTATATTTGCTATAAATAGAACTTCTTCTATTAAAAACAATCAAGCCCTGCTTATATTTAAAAAGTAACGCGAAAGTAACGCAAAAGTAATATAACGCATTACTTTCCATAAAAAGTAACTAAGTAACGTAATTAGTTACTTTTTTAGGGAGTAACGCAATATTGTAATGCATTACTTTTAAAAGTAACTTTCCCCAACACTGCCTATATGTTACCACTTAGGATATTATTTGATGCTATGCTTTTTCAATAACTGAAGAATATTGAAATACTCTAAATATCTGTGTCTGACAAATTCCACCAGCAAGCTTTATTAGCTTGGAAAATTTGCTACTCGCACAATTTTATTATTTTTTTTATGTAAAATTGTCCACAACTTTTGGATGGAATTAGCAGAACTTATTTTTTATTTAGTAAAGGATAATTACTTTTTACATTAAAGGACATTATTGTTTATTATGAAAACAAAATGAACAAAGGATGAATCAATTGTTCATTTATTTATATTGCTGGCAAAAAATGTTTTTACAGAAGCAAAAATGTTTAAATTCCTCAATTGTTTATCTTGTTTATTGTTGAATTTGATCGTTTTATGTCTTCTTTGAAAGTGTTGTTGTTGTTTTTTTAAGGCATTGACATGTTTAAAATGGGGCCTCTTATCAGTGTTGGGGGTAACTCATTACAAGTAATGCGAGTTACGTAATCAGATTACTTTTTTTCAAGTAACTAGTAAAGTAATGCATTACTTTTTTTAATTTACAAGAAAATATCTTAGTTACTTTTTCAAAAAAGTAATGCCAGTTACTTTTTCCCATTTGTTGACTGACAGCTCTCCTGTCCCCATGTTGGGAGAAATCGGGAGTACAGAGGCGTTGTGTTCGCTGTGTGAACATGATGGTACTGTAGTTCTAGACTAAATGTGAATGTGCATTCATTCATCCCATTCCCATTTGTTGACTGACAGCTCTCCTGTCCCCATGTTGGGAGAAATCGGGAGTACAGAGGCGTTGTGTTCGCTGTGTGAACATGATGGTACTGTAGTTCTAGACTAAATGTGAATGTGCATTCATTCATCCCACTCACAAAAAACAGATTTAGTATTCATCAAAATGAATTAAAACAGTGAAATGCAAACTCAGAATATGACGCAAACCTGCAATAATTAAATATGTTAAATAACACAAATGTATCTAATCCCATTTTATTAACTGATGTCTTTGCTGCTGACCTTTGCTGATCCAGTTCAACCACATGCACTAATAAGCAAAAAAGACTTTAGATAAACTAACAATTGTGCTTTGTTTTGTTATTGCTGAAGAGTGTTTCTTCTCCTGCGTTCTACTGTGCAGACGTGAATTTACTTTTGCTTCAGCCTGAGGTTTATTCATTACACTTTTTGGTGTGAAAGGGCTTTTATATTTGCTATAAATAGAACTTCTTATATTAAAAACAATCAAGCCCTGCTTATATTTAAAAAGTAACGCGAAAGTAACGCAAAAGTAATATAACGCATTACTTTCCATAAAAAGTAACTAAGTAACGTAATTAGTTACTTTTTTTAGGGAGTAATGCAATATTGTAATGCGTTACTTTTAAAAGTAACTTTCCCCAACACTGCCTATTATGATAGTATTTTTGGATCCCCTGTTACCACACTCTAAAAAATGCTGGGTTAAATACAACCCAGTGCTGGGTAAAATAGGGACAAACCCAGCAATTGAGTTGTTTTGACCCAGCGGTTGGGTTACTACCCAGAAGGTTGGGTTAAACATTTAACCCAAGCGCTGGGTCAAAACAACCCAATTGCTGGGTTTGTCCCTATATTGGATGTTATTTTATGCTATGCTTTTTCAATAACTGAAGAATATTGAAATACTCTAAAGAATATAATAACTGAGGTATCTGGAGTAAAAAGCACACCTATTGTTGGTGCTAAATGAACCAGTAATTGACGTGATAAAAAAAAGTAGCGTGGATGACTATTCCGTTTGTTGACAGTAAATGTTTAGAATCAAATAGTCAATATCATTTATTACGTTGGGTATCCACCTTGGAGATACTCACAATATTTCTAATTTATTTGAAAATATTATGTTTATCATATGATGTTACAAAAAATAATCATATTTATTGTTGATATAAAATGATTATGAGACCACCTTCAAGCAGTGTAAAAAGTTGATTCTTCTTCTTCTTATTATTATACAAATGTTATCATTATAAAAATGTATTTATTATTTTATTTTATTTATTATATTGTGTATCTACCAAAATAAACAGAAAATGTTACAGACTTTGCTGGAGTGATTGTTTTAAACAAGTATTGACTGAGATATTTTACTAAATATATTATTTGAGCTATTTATCAATACTATGTTGTCTATTATTTTATCTACTATTTTATCTTGAAATAAGAGGCCCCCCTCACCACATTTAGATACATTTATATGTTTTTAAACAAAACATGCTTTTATGATTTCTTTTCCACACAAAACTTGCTCCATCAATGTTGAATAATTTTTTTTTTCTTCTCTGCAATAATACAGTGTGGGAGCACTGAAAAGCATATCATTAAGGTGTGCATCCTTGTGCCTGTAGCCCCATTGTATACATTTTGAAGATGTGCAATGATTGTTTTATGAGAAATTACCTGAAATCTAAATTCTACCCAAATTATCTTAAATAAATAAATATAGTGTGTTTAAGCATTGCATGATATTTTCAGTTGGTGACTTATCAACACAATTATTGGTAAGCTAATATTTATACTAATCTTAGTTTACATAAGTAAAAAAAAAATGTTATTGTTAGTTTATTTGTTAAATTTCATTAGTTGTAAACTAGTCCAGCACAATCTCTGGTGTCCTTTGATTTCTTCTATAACTGGACTGCAAGGGGCTACAAGGCCATTTTATCAACTGTTTACTTAAAATAGTCAGTAGTCAGTTAGGTCAGTACATAAATGTAGTTGATTTTTAATGTGTCTGTTTCACTGTTGCAGAAGGCTGAGGTTTATTTGTGCTATATTGGAGCTAAAGAGGTCAAATGCTGTGCTGCTTTATTGAGTGTGTCTGCTTGTCTGTTCTATTTAGGTCATTATTGATGATGATCAATCTGCCTGATAGTTTGTGAGTGAGCCTCTGTCACACTTCATGCAGAGTTTAGAAGTGAACTACCAGACAAGACCATTACTGGAACCTCATTCTGCAGGCCAGGTAAGCTGTAGAATAACAAAGTTTGATTTCTGATACAAATAAGAGTTTTGTGTCAGACATAGCCCCCCTTTTTAATGTTTATAAGGTATTGTGAGAGATGCTTGAGTAATGATAAGGTATCCTACTATAAATGCAGACCACGTACTAGTTAAGTTTTATCATACAAGTTGGGTCACACTGACATTCTTAATCCAGTACCAAGTGAACCAACAAAAAGAACAGTGTGCTATTGCAGTTTGACCATATTGACAGTTAGTGATATTCATTTGGTATATATGAATTATATATTGTATATGAATGATTTCACAAAACAAACTATTTATATGAGCAGAAGTAAACAATAACATTACAATACAATACAACTTTTTTGAGGCAGGAAATGCTAACTAATTTGTTATTTTTAATTTAAAAATTATATTTACAGCAAAGGAACAATCTGTAATCTTCCAATTATAATAATACAATAGTTTATTGTTCATAAGTTTTTAAAAGACATCTCTTATGCTCACCAAGGCTGCATTTATTTGATCAAAAATACAGCAAAAAATTGTGAAATATAATGTGAAATATATATATAAATCTTCTTTATAAGTATATTTGAAAATGTAATTTATTCCTATATGATGGCAAAGCTGAATTTTCAGCAGCCATTATTCCAGTGTCACATGATCCTTCAGATATTATTTTAATATGATTATTTGGTGCTCACAAAACTTTTCTTATTTTTATTTATCAATGCTGAAAACAGTGCTGCTTAATATCTTTCTGGATTTTATTTTTCATAATTCTGCGATGAAGAGAAAGTTCACAAGGACAGTGATTATTTGAAATTGTAAGATTTTTTTTCTTTGCAACGTGTCTTTATCGTTATTTTCGATCAACATAATGCATCCTTCTTGCTAAATGAAAGTATTAATTTCTTTAAAAAATTCTTGATCTCAAATGGTAGTGTATATGACAATGAAATAATACCAATGTCAATCTTTTGCATTGAATATTAATTAATTATTCTTTATTTTTTTCTTCATAAGCAGGGCCTTTATCTGTTGTCTTTCTGTATATCATCATGATAAACCCATCATCTGGACCAGGAGGTGAGCAGGATGTTTAAGGGTCATGAATGCAGTTTGGTACTTGTGTATACTTTGGCTGCAGGCTTGAGTCTGTGGAATGTGGTTACTCTACGGCATTATTTCAGAGGTTTTATGAAAGGTTTGTGGTGTCAGTTTGTATTTTGTGTCTCATTTGAAAGCTCTTAGTTTCAAGTCTGGTGCACCTCTCCTAAAATGTAGGTTAATAATAAAGTAAGTAAAAAGCAGTTATATCTGGATCTGCGTTTAAGCATTCCATTTTAGTTTCACTATAGAGGGCAAGAGTTGCCAATCTTAATTTATTGCCAGTAGAGGGCAATATGTGAATGAGACAAATCATTAATGTCCTACATTTACATGTCACTTAAATGAAAGAAAATGTACATTATAAGAATAGAAATGAATAATTCAGGGTATATTAGAGACAATTAGAATGTTTATCATATTCATCTCATCTTTAGGTGTGTGTAGGTTGCTGACCTCTTTGCTTTATGGGCTGGAGTCTCATATGGACACCTCAGAGGACAGCACTTTTCTACAGGACATGCTCATGGGCAATACTCTGCATCTGCTTATTAAGGTCAGACTTTTTATTTTAGTAGCATCCAGTATATGAGTGTTGTTAGCCCACTTTAGTGACTGCTGTTTGCCAGGGCTATGACTTGAATTGGGTGAAATTATTTAGATCAAGTTGCTGGCTTGACCATAAGAAGGTGCACCTGCACATTTACACAATCACTCTTCATTCATTCATTCATTCATACACTCACTGTCTTGATCAGTCACTCACTCACCCATACATTCATTCATTTATTCACCCAATCACTAATTTTTGCATTCACTGACTTCAGGCTGGAATACACTACATGGTTTTGAAGATTTTTGTCCTGGTTTGCACCTTGGATGAGTCAAAGCTAGTTGCAGAAAGTCAAAGTCATTTAGCAGATTATGAGCAGTTAGAGTTGACAGATTTCATGGAAAACTGTGTAGTGCATGATGGACACAATATCTGATTGTTTAGCTTCAGACTGGAATTCCATCGAGTCATCACTCTTAAAAGAAATGGTTCTAAATGGTACCAGATTACGGTTCTTTGGCTTGTAACAATAATAGAACACTTTTTGGTGTTAAAAAGAACACTTTTTATAAGGTTTGATAAAGAATCATGCTTTGAAAGTGCTATAGGACCTTAAATGTGTCATACATAAATATTTTAATTTATTATAAATAAATTATAATTTACCAATATTTTTAACCCTGTATCTGGTCTTATAATAAATTGTAGCCTCAATTAGTGTTTTGCTAAAGGAAAAATAGAATCAATGAAAATTATGCAATCAAATTCCAGTAATATCCAGTCAAGTTCCATTCTATAATGCCTTTAAGTCCATCATGTGTTTATTTTGAGTGGCAGTTTCTTTCTGCAGATGATGAGGTTGTGGGATGTAACAGCATCTAGGTCAAAATACATAAATAGTTTATAGATACAAAGTGTTTCTTCCAGTAGTTTGAAAAGATTTACTGTATGTGTTTGAAGGCCCAAAGGAGAGTGAGCCCTTCACAATGTTAAATGGAAAAAGTGCCAAAGTCATGGGATAGCTTTAATGTTTTGTTGTTCTTCTTGTTTGTTTGTTTGTTTTTTGGTGACTGGGAAACTTTTTCAAATTTCAGTTCCTTCCTTCATTCATTGAGTGAATTACTCACTTCAATCACTCATTTCAATCACACATTTGTTCAGTCATTCCCTTCCTAACCCTCTGGTATTCCTCACTTACATGGAGTTGTGTATTCCCTAGTTGCTTCTGAGAGTATTTTCAGACATATTAATGAATTTTATTAGATTTTGCATTTGGATATACTGTATATTTAGACATTAAAGATTTTTTTTAATTGTGGGTGATTTGTGCATTGTAACAACAATTTTTTTTCCAGTTATTTTTGACTATGAAGATTACAAGTGTGACAATTTGTTAAAGACCATTTAGCAGTTTTTTGTCATGTCCACATTTTTATTAGATATCATAGGTGCCACAAAAGTCACCAAGTTGCATACCATTCTAAGGGTACATCCAAACATACAGTTTACGGTTTAAAATGAGACCACCAGAGGGTTAATCGTTCTCTCATTGACTCACTCTGTTTTAATTATGTGCATCGGGCACACTTTAGAATGAAATCTTTTGAAAGCTGAGTTCTCCAAACACTGCAGCAAGTGCACACCCAGCATCATCATTTGCTGGCAGACGGGTGAACTAATGAATCCAGCACATGCTGTCTGTGACACGTAGAGAGGGGAGGCGAGGAGAAAGGGAGGAGAGGTTGAAGGGGAAGGGGAAGGGGAGACTGTGATAAAAACCCAAATACAGCTCAGCTGTACTGTTGGGTGCTCTGTTTCATTAGTCACATGGATCTGTGAGGTGTTCAGTGCTCCTGCTGGATGTTTCTCTTTGAATGCTGAGAAAGGATCATATTTTCCAATCAATCTGACTTTTCACTTTCCTTAGAAACAACATAACTGCTCAAAAATGGTTTGAACGCTATTTCTATCATTGGTACAAAAATACTTCAAATGCATGCAAGAAACAATATTATATAACATAATAATGAATACCTACAGTACATTAAATACCAGTAGCATTTATGGCTTTTACTTCATGATATATTGTAAAACACAACGCACATGCAAACACATGTGCAGATAAAATAAAACACATCCATGAAGTTCATGAAGACAAAACATCCATGAAGATTTTTTTTTTTAATACTTTAATATTTCTATTTAGCAAGGATGCATTAAAGTGATCAGTGACAAGTGACAGTAAAAACCTTTATATCATCACAAATAGTACAGCAGGGGGAATTGTGGCTCAGTCTTTAAATAATTTCAATTAAAATTAGATCTCAGCTAATGATGTAAACTATAATGGAAGCCCTACTACATGCACATTGCTATAATATTAAAGGTTACAAATAACAATTATTCCAAACTAGTCCAAATTCGATTCAATATTTTGTATCACCACTCAAATAAAAATGTATGTAAACATGTACAGTGTACATATGGTAGTTTTTAAATTACCTTATAAATCTAATTATAAAATTGTTATGTTTCTACTCTGATTTGTTGTTGATTTAAAGGCTAGGTCTATTCATTTACACAGTGGCTGTTATAACTTTTCATGACAGATTTATTTAAAGAAACGTTAAATATTTAAGACATCAGTAACAGGTAGGACTGTAAATATTTAGGTAAACAGCGAATCGATCCGATTCATGATTCATTCAAGAACAATTCGATTCAAGAACGATTTTTTTAAATTCAGAATGATTCCATTCGAGACAATTCACAGTTAAATTTGATGCGATTTGATGAACGGTTCGATTCTGCATTCTTTAAGTGCAATCACAGGATTATTAAAATGGTTCCCCTAAATTCTTATGTACAATGCACATTTATTAAAATTAAGCTTAAAACGTGTTTTAATGTCATTATTGATGAGGATTGTATAATCTTTGAATAATATCGGTCTTTAAATGCAAAATATTGTGATAGTCTGATAGCACAATCAAATGTACTTCATTATATCTTTAGTTGTACTTCAGCACGACTTCCTCACAATTAAAGTGCATTAAGTGCAAAATTAGTTAGTCCAATTTAGCAGACTTTAAGTTTACCAGTTTGGTATACCAATTGCAGGGTATTTTTATTAAGCACTTAAATATGTACGTGTACTTGTAATTTGAATGATTTATTGTTATTTATCATTCAATGAAACTGTGCGTATGCTTTTAAACACTTACATTGTTTTTGCTCCATCCAAATGCGCAGCCTTCAATTGCTCAGGGCATGTCAATGGTATGACTGAGAGCCATTGAAAAATTACAGAAAAGTAAAACTGCTTTACTAAGTAAAACTATTTTACTTTAGCAGTACTGGCCACGAGTACTAAGGACAGATCACACATGGGCTCAATTTGGCTGGTCAGAAAAAGTGTCGGTGTGAGCGCATCGGCGTGAAGGAGAGATGTGAGTGCACAAACTACACTGTTCAAGATCTCCATTAATTCGTGCTTGTAGTAATTTAATGTGTATAAATTTTGAAGCACTGAATCTCTATAGAAATTCGATTCTTAGTGTTTTAAAACGATTCGCCGAAATCAACGATTCAGGACAACGATTCATAATCGATGCAAATGCATCGTCAGGGTTTCTAATCGATGCATCGAGAAAACGAGTGAATCGTTACACCCCTAGTAACAGGTAACATATACAGATATATATGCGGTCATGTTTATTTCATACTGTAACTAGTAGTAAAGAGGAAGAGATGATCACATTCACTCAAGCTCTTGAATTGAGTCACCTGTATAGCTATGACATCATATCAAATAGTGTCAAAATGACATTTATTGTTTGAATTTCCTGATATAATGGAGATTTTGAAAGATGACATTTTGATTCTTATCGAAAGCAACAAAACGCAAAGCTTATTATTGCACAGGAGGAGAACTATAATGTCTAGTGAGCTTTTATTCATGTATTAACTTAAAAAAACAGATTAAAAGGTAGATCTTGGGATTTAAGGATTGATATCGATTTGTTAAAAGGAAGATATATAAAATCATGGCAACGTTGTATTAATATTAAATTATAATAAAGTTTCACATTCTGGTTTTATTGTATTTTTGGTCAAATAAATGCAGCCTTGGTGAACATAAGATTTTCTTTCAAAAACATTTAAACATTTAGCTAAAACCATACTTTTGAAATGCTTGTGTATGTATGTACATATAGGAAAGTGTGTGTCATGTACTGAAATTTAATTATCCTTTTACCTTCATTATAGTTAATTTTATGAAAAATGAATAAATACAAATATTTCATGTAGTTTTAAATTAAAATGAGGTCATAGAAACCTACATGCAATAATTATAAAATAATTATATAGTTTTAGGTGAATTATAGTATGTGAAACCGTAGTAAACTGCTGCTTGAAACTTCCCCCACACACACCTGTTGAGGAGCTACTAAAAAGAAAAGTGTTTGTTACATCGACAAGCATATCTCCAGAGGCAAGCTATGAATTTACTTTATGTGCCAGACATTTCGGCATGAATCCGAAATGTCTTAAATTGATATACCAATTCTCACCACACAACAACTAATGTCAGAGTCCATCTCAGCAGCGAACACAAACATGCAACTAAAGGATTATACTAAGTATGCACAAAGAGAAAGTTTTTGCTTTTTTGCCATATGACTGTAAAGGAAATCAGAGCTCTTATACTTGTGTTGGAAAATAAGCAATTATACTGCCCTTTTCAAACAAGAAGAAACTTTACAAGAAATGTACCATAAGAATTTGAAATAAATATGCAGTCTACGTCAGAATATACATCATCATAAAATTGTGATTTTGTATATCGAGTTCACAAAATGACAATTCCCTTATTGTGGAAATAAATATTTAATATATTTATTTAAACATATGTATTTAGATTATTTGTTGGCTTCCTATACGTAAGGTGTGATATTTGACACATTGATTTGCATTAAGAAACAGCAAGAAACATCGATAGCAAGTGTGTTAAGATGCTTTATGTGCAGTTTTGTGTTAACAGAGAATGTGGCCCCAGACCTACAAGCCAAAATGTATCTGGTTTTAGTGTGTGACATCATCTTTTAAAAAATTTAAAATTGTTTTACTTAATACATCTGTTATGAAACATGTCCGTCTTTATGAGCTCTTTTAGCTGTGTGAGGGCCATAAATATGATTACATCTTTCTTGGCTGATATTCTAATAGTTTTAGCATTGCCTGCACCATACAGTCCAGCCAATGGATGAACAGACAGATAAAAAATAAACACACAAATTTCCATGATTTTTTTTAATGTTGCTATATAGATTTGACTGATATATTACACTTTGGTTACTTCTGCTTATCAGATTGAGTGATATATCACTCACATAATACAGAGAAACATTTTGCTACTATAGACGAATTTCAGGGGTGAGGGTCAACTGGGTGAACAGTAACCCCCTGGGCAGCCTAATGCCACTTCTCTTCTCCTCACAGGTCTATGACAGGCTCCAGAAGTACAGAGTCCAGCGGCCTGCTCCACTGTTGGAAAGCACACAGGGCCTGGCTCAGGATGTAAGTTCTCCTCTGGGGCATCTAGTGGTTTTTGTCTCCAGACCAGAGTGATCAGACAATCCAGCAGAGCTGGGACGGGATTCAGTTGCAGGACCTTTAGTCTGTTTAGTGTTGTCGGTTTGAAGTGTACTGGAAGGGATTACTTGTGAACACCCCAGTGTCACATAAATACATGCGCAGCTTCACAGACACTCATTTATTTATTGCTTTTTTATTATTATATATTTTTTTTTTATCTGGCCGTACCTATTTATTTTCAAGGCCAAAATTGCATTTTTGTGTGTCAATGCCCAGCATGACCCAATTTTCCCTAAGCTCTTTAAAACGGCAGTGTATAATTTCTACACCACCAGCATGACAAATTGGAAATTAGTTAAAAAATAATTATTGTTTCAAACAAGCTTCCTGAAAAACCCTGTCATCTGCATTGGTCAAAGAAATAAATAGCCCTGTCCTAAATTCACACCACTGGTTGAGCCAATATTGCTACATCATACTGGTCAGTGGCTTGTTTCAGGAAGTAAAGAAAGATTTGATAAAAAAGCTCAGGTTTTAATACAGATTATTTGTTTTATATAATTTATATTATTATTTGTCATTATATGTGTACTATTGTGAATGTGAACAATAATAATGTCTGTTTACTTCGCTCAAATATTGAGTTTGGACAGCTGCAGAGAGAAACTAGTAGCCAGACAACAATATCTCCTGTGTTGTCTCCAGTGGTTTCCAACGTTAACTCCAGCAATCTGCAGCGATCTCCTACATCTGCATAAGTACTCCCCTGTGTATGTATTTGTCTCTTCTGCTCCCCTGTGTAATGTGCTGCTCTGAGATCCTACGAAATACATCCTTATTAGTATTGCTGCTCTATCTCTGCAATATCTCTATCTCTGCTGATTTACTTAGCTGACATTATTCTTCAATTGTGCAATAAATACCTGCGATTGGGTTCCTAACATTTTGTCTACCGTGTTTGGTGTTCTGTGACAGAAGGCCAGACCACAACCCACCATGAACCTTGCAGGCACCGCACCCTCGATCCTTATTAATGAAGAGCTCTCAAATGGGCAGAAACTATATGGAATCAAGCTGGTCCTGTCTCTCAGTCACTTCAGAACTTAATATCCCATTACTGTGGAGTTTTTGGAGATCCTGTTGGTGATACTTAAGTCAGTGAACAACCCTATCAGTTACGTCAAGGAAAACCTCAATTATAGATTATGCTTTAAAGTTCTGGACCCTCACAGCTGCCAATGACTGGAATGAGTCAACATTATTGGCAACATACCAACAAGGACTGGACCTAGTGTTAAGGCTGCAACACGCTGCTTACAACAACTCCAGTGGGCTTGCAGTGGGCTTCCATCCGCGTGGCTCACTGGATGAAGGATTGCCTCAATGATACATCTCACCTGCACCTCCTATCTTCATTCCCAGCCAGCTTTGTTTGACTCTCCAGAACCAGGCCACAAACCGATGCAGATTTGCACTTGTCCTCTCTCCTCGGCAGAGCGTCAATGTTGGCATACCCTTCATCTCTGTCTATATTACGGAGTAGGTAGACATGTGGTATCTACATTTCCCATCAAGCCCCCACAACCTTTAGTGAGTTTTGTCACTTATCGTAATCTCCATGCCAAGCCTTTAGCCACCATTGTAACTCTTGCTGTCTCCAATGCCTCTCAATCTGTGTCTGCTCTTATAGATTCAGGGTCAGCCGGCAACTTAATCTCTGTCGCTCCCTCCACCTCCAGAATAATCCCTGTGAATCTTCATACAAGATCTTCTCAATAATAGGAAAACCTCTGGGTCGTGGCCAGGGCCGGATTTACCTCTTTTCGTGACATAGACAATACAATTTTTTGGGCCCCCCTTCCCAATTAATATAATAGGCCTAATATTACTACCCAATAATATTATAATTTTATTTAATATAATAATATTTCTTAATCAGTGGAAACCGTTACAGTATTTTCTATCACAATAAGCGCTTGCGTTCAGTCAATAAAAATCGAATGTAGTTCTTAATTTGTTTGAAAACTGAGAAAGACCATTCCATTAATAGGCGCGGCAACGTGGCCACATTACCGCTTCGGGAGTGCATTATTTGTGTTGAACTAGCTAATTTTTTACGCACCTCATCCCAAACCTTCCGTTGCAAATTCCAAAACCTAATTTTAGAGCTAATAACAGAGGCTTGAGCCATTGATATGCAGGCTAACGCAGTTATTAATGCAGTCTAAAGCAGTTATTAGAGAGAGAGAGATTAAGTGCGTGTGAATACTTGCGTCTGTGCGTCTCTCAGCAGTATTCAGCAGCAGCGTCTACTAATAGCGAATTTTTAAGTCAAACTGCTTCAAGCAGCTCTGACAACAAGTTTCTGTCCGCATCTCTGTGTGTGCAAGTGCGTGTCTGTACTGTGTGTGTGTCTGTGAGAGAGAACGGGAGAAAGAAAGCGTGATTTGTGTACATTAAAAGGGTGAAGACATGAAAATAGTTTGACATTATTACCCTATTGTTTGTTATATTTATTTGCTCAATGTCTTCTGGGGTTTTGGTTATTTTACTGTTGTAGATATCCCATAGTATATCAAAAATATTAAATATCTTTTCATTGTGTTTGGGCCCCCCCTGGGCGAGCAACCATAAGCACGTGCCTAGAATGCCTATGCTTAAATCCAGCCCTAGTCGGGGCACTATCTGTCACTGTGTGGGTCCAGTAAGACTGCAGGTGGGCTGCTTGCAAGTGGAAGACATCACTCTCCTGGTTCTGGAAAAGACAAAAGCAGTCATCATCTTGGAGCGCCCATGGCTCGTTAAGCATTCACCCATAGTATCCTGGTCTACTGGACATGTCCTGAAGTGGGGTCCTCAGTGTTTGTTTTATTGCTTTCCATCAGTTCCTCCATCCAAGTCGCCTGTGCTTGAAGTCAATTCCATCTCCATTGAAAGCCCAATCGTACAAAAGTCTGTCAAAGCTCCTTCCTGTACTTCTCACTTCAAGGAATCCTTCTGCCCCAAGTGAGCCTCCCAATTATCACCTCACTGACAATGGAGCTGCACTGTTGATCTGCTGCCTGGTGAACCAGTGCCTAGAGAAAATATTTATCCACTGTCATTCCCAAACAGAAGTCCATGGAAGAGTACTTGGAAGAAGCACTACTCCAGGGCTACATTCATCCATCAACATCCCCTGCTGCTTCTAGTTTCTTATTTGTGGTGAAAAAGGACAGAGTATCTGCATTGATCACCAGTCTCTTAACAAGCTTACTGTTAAATACAGGTACCCTCTTCCCCTCATCCTGGCTACTTTGGAATTGTTGTGTGAAGCTATTATCTTCATGAAGCTTGACCTTTGCAGCACATACAACCTCATTCAGATAATACATTTGAATGGAAAACAGCTTTTGTGGCCCCTACACTACTGCGTCATCCCATATGGCCTGGTTAGTGCCCCCTCTGTATTCCAAGGGTTCATGAGTGAGGTGATCCGGGAGCACCTCCATCGCTTTGTCCTGGTTTACATCAATGGCATTCATTGTATATTCCCTGAACGAGATTGACCATTGTCACCATGTCTCAATTGTGTTGGCGAAGCTGAGAGAGTACCATCTTGACCTCAAAGCTGAGAATGGTATATTCCATTAGATCCCATCAGTTCTTTGGATACCACCTTAGCCCTAAAGGGGTCAAAATAGATGAGGGGAAGATAGAAGCAGTAAACTCCTGGCTCAATCCTACAACCTCAACTTCTACAATTTATACCATTTATTCATTAAAAACTACAGTATCCTGTCGGTGGCGATAGCCTTGAGGGTAGTGCACCGACATACAGCGGCTACAGGCATCCCGAGTTTGAATCCCGGCTTGAGGACCTTTCTTGATCCCACCCCCCTCTCTCTCCCACAATGCTTCCTGTCAACTCTGAGCTGTCCTATCATAGTAAAGTGAAAAATTGTTCCAATTACCTCCATCCTTGGATCCAAGTCCAAGTCTCTGTCCTGGACCCCAGAGCTTGACCAACCTTTCTCAGCTTGGCCAACACAAGTGCAACATGGTGACAATGGTCTTAAGAGTGCACAGTGGATGTCGTTGATGTAAATGTGGACAATGGTATGGGACTGTTTTTCAGGGGTTGGGTTAGGCCTCTTACATTCAGTAAAAATAAATCTTAAAGGGATAGTTCAACCATAAATTAAAATTCTGTCATTAATTACTCACCCTCATGTCGTTCCAAACCTGTAAGACCTTCGTTCATCTTCGGAACACAAAGTAAGATATTTTTAATGCATTCCAAGAGCTCTCTGACCATGCCATAGACAGCAAGGATCCTTACACGATCAAGGCTCAGAAACATAGCAAGGAGATCGCTAAAATAACCCATGTAATAACAGTGGTTCAACCGTAACTTTACGAAGCTACGAGAATACTTTTTGTGTGCAAAGAAAACTTAAATAATGACTTTATTCAACCAATCGTCTCCTCCGAGTCACCCTATAGCGCCATTTTGGAGAGTATAACATATGTAAACAACGTATGCAATGTATGTACGCGGATAGGTTGTTTACGTTCAGATCAAAGCGTAAACAGTGTAAACAGCATGTCCACATTCAGAGCTGCTGACACAGAACAGCATATGTAGTTTACGTATGTGATACTCTCAAAAATAGCGCTACAGGGTGGACAACGAGGAGACGAATTGTTGAATAAAGTCGTTATTTTTGTTTTCTTTGCACACAAAAAGTATTCTCGTAGCTCCGTAAAGTTACAGTTGAACCACTGATGTCACATGGATTATTTTAATGATCTCCTGGCTACGTTTCTGATCCTTGATCGTGTAAGGATCCTTACTGTCTATGGGAGGGTCAGAGAGCTCTCGGAATGCATCAAAAATATCTTAATTTGTGTTCCGAAGATGAACAAAGATCTTACATGTTAGGAACAACATGAGGGTGAGAAATTAATGACAGAATTTTCATTTTTGGGTGAACTATCCCTTTAATGTTTCAGTGTACCCCAATGTACAAAGCAAGATTCATAATCTTCACAAGGTTCCTATGTATTTGGAAAGTCACTGTTGGTGTAATGGTCAGGTGTCCCGATATCCGGATTTGGTGCTCAAGAAGAAACATTTTTTTATTATAAATGATATGTTATTATAATAGAGTTTTTGCTGCTTAATCACCCCTCCCCTCCCCATCCCCCTCCAAAAATGTGATACACTATACCTTTCACAAGTTTGGGGTAATAATTTATTTATTTATTTATTTAAAATAAATAAAAATTTACAATACATACTTTTAAGCAGAAAAAAACTTTTCAACATTGCTAATATTAATGCTAATAAATGTTTCTTGAGTACCAGATAGATATACTGTATTAGAAGGATTTCTGAAGGATCATGTGACACTGAAAACTGATGTAATGACTGAAGATGACACAAGAATAAATTACATTTTAAAATATATTTAATTATAATTTTGGTAAGCAGAACTATACTGACTAAAAAATTTGTTAATTGATGTTTTGCTTTTTGTGAAGTATTTTCATCACAAAAACAGTTGGATTACACTTCAACCTCTATCTTTCCTCATTACAGTTATCTCCCTTCAACAGTATTCACATTTCTATTATAAAACTAAAGTTTTTCCTCTTCCTTGCACACCTTGCAAAAACAATCAGCTCTGACTTTATCAACTCAATTCTGCAGAGACTCTTAAAAGAAAGATTATCTCCAGCTTTTGACTGGGCATGCTGTATTTCATTAAGGCAAAGAGTAGTTTTAAAGTGATATCACTTTCCATCTTCTCTCGGACTGAAAATGAGGAGGACATTTTGGAGCATTAAGCCGTTAAAAGCATTTTCCTTACGTCGCAGCTCAGTGTAAAATTTCAGTTTTGGAGATTTAATGCATGTTTAATGTCAGGTCCGGTGTCACTCAGAACCACATTCAGTCAAGTTGGTTGTTCCTTGGCTGAACCACAACAGAAACAGCTATTTCTCCAGGGCTCCTGGTACTGTGGCATTTTGACCTGCTATGCAAACATTCGCATAATATTGTCAAGTGGGTTGGGATAGACTGAACCAGACCCCCGAGCATGGCCAAAGCAAACTGGCACCAGATCAGTTCATGATACCTGGAGCATAAACTAAGCCAAATGGGCTGGTCAGAGATTTTTGTCTGTTATACCATATCGTATAGACATTATTAAATGTTTAATGCTTCTTATTTTTCATTCCAGTTGGCAGAAGAGCTGCGCTGTGTAGTCGCCAGCCCAGAGACAACAGAGTTGTTATACCTGCTCTCTAAACCTCATGTACAGGTGAGAAGGAAAAGGCAGAGGCTTGACTGACATAAAGGCTTGACTGAAAACAGAAGCAAATAAAATGATCCCTGCATTTATGGTGGGCTGGTGTCAATAGACAAAGTACATAAATAGTATTTAGCGAAAATGTCATGATAGACACAATATATGGTTGATAAAATATGGAAAATATACATTACTATTTGACTCCAAGCATGAACTGGATTAAAAAAAATAATAATAATCATCTTAAGGCCTGTAAAAATCCAGACCCACACATTAAGTTTATTGAGTTCAGGAGTTTCAGTCATGAGAGCTTTGACAGCTTTATTTGTGATTGGTCTAATGATATGTTGCTTCTTGGATCATTTGTTTGGCTCTCACATTTTATAAAGCAACACTGGGTTGCCTCAGTAAGGTGATTTTCAATGTGGAAAGATTCTTTATCAAGCCAAGTGTAAAGACCAGTTGATTTACCTTTTGATTTTCTGAAAATATTTTTATTTTTATATATATGCTACTGTTCAAAAGATTGTGGTCTGTAAAATGTATACATTTTTTTTGAAAGTCACTTATAAAGGCTGCATTTATTTTATTATAAGGCTGCATGGACAATCCTGCCCTACATTTTTTTCTCATTCAAAAAGATGCTTCTCTCGGATATACATATTTATTATACATATTATTGTTAAAAAAAACAGTGATTTGTAACATTCCATCACACATTATCCCTTACAAATGCGGCTGACTGAATTCCTAATTCCTCTATGTTTTCATTATCCTCTTCAGGCTCTTCTCTCAGTGCATGACATGGTGTCTCAGAAAGAGTTTGACCCTCGTTTGCCTCCTCTGCCCCCACTGCCCGATTACATCGAGAAAGAAGAAGATTCAATCAAGATCGTTCGCTTGGTTAAAAACCAGGAGCCACTGGTGGGTAAATGAGTAAAAACATAGGAAAATAGTCCATGTTGGTTAAAACATGTTTGTAGTAGTAGGAACTCAGCAGTTAATAAGTCATTATGGACCGTCATCATATCTACAATCCATTAGAGAAATCTGCTTCAGCTTTAAATGTAAAGTGCATTGGTCTGCCTTACAACATCAAGATACATTTACAAACTTCTCCCTTCAACAGTATTCACATTTCTATTATAAAACTAAAGTTTTTCCTCTTCCTTGCACACCTTGCAAAAACAATCAGCTCTGACTTTATCAACTCAATTCTGCAGAGACTCTTAAAAGAAAGATTATCTCCAGCTTTTGACTGGGCATGCTGTATTTCATTAAGGCAAAGAGTAGTTTTAAAGTGATATCACTTTCCATCTTCTCTCGGACTGAAAATGAGGAGGACATTTTGGAGCATTAAGCCGTTAAAAGCATTTTCCTTACGTCGCAGCTCAGTGTAAAATTTCAGTTTTGGAGATTTAATGCATGTTTAATGTCAGGTCCGGTGTCACTCAGAACCACATTCAGTCAAGTTGGTTGTTCCTTGGCTGAACCACAACAGAAACAGCTATTTCTCCAGGGCTCCTGGTACTGTGGCATTTTGACCTGCTATGCAAACATTCGCATAATATTGTCAAGTGGGTTGGGATAGACTGAACCAGACCCCCGAGCATGGCCAAAGCAAACTGGCACCAGATCAGTTCATGATACCTGGAGCATAAACTAAGCCAAATGGGCTGGTCAGAGATTTTTGCCTGTTATACCATATCGTATAGACATTATTAAATGTTTAATGCTTCTTATTTTTCATTCCAGTTGGCAGAAGAGCTGCGCTGTGTAGTCGCCAGCCCAGAGACAACAGAGTTGTTATACCTGCTGTCTAAACCTCATGTACAGGTGAGAAGGAAAAGGCAGAGGCTTGACTGACATAAAGGCTTGACTGAAAACAGAAGCAAATAAAATGATCCCTGCATTTATGGTGGGCTGGTGTCAATAGACAAAGTACATAAATAGTATTTAGCGAAAATGTCATGATAGACACAATATATGGTTGATAAAATATGGAAAATATACATTACTATTTGACTCCAAGCATGATCTGGATTAAAAAAAATAATAATAATCATCTTAAGGCCTGTAAAAATCCAGACCCACACATTAAGTTTATTGAGTTCAGGAGTTTCAGTCATGAGAGCTTTGACAGCTTTATTTGTGATTGGTCTAATGATATGTTGCTTCTTGGATCATTTGTTTGGCTCTCACATTTTATAAAGCAACACTGGGTTGCCTCAGTAAGGTGATTTTCAATGTGGAAAGATTCTTTATCAAGCCAAGTGTAAAGACCAGTTGATTTACCTTTTGATTTTCTGAAAATATTTTTATTTTTATATATATGCTACTGTTCAAAAGATTGTGGTCTGTAAAATGTATACATTTTTTTTGAAAGTCACTTATAAAGGCTGCATTTATTTTATTATAAGGCTGCATGGACAATCCTGCCCTACATTTTTTTCTCATTCAAAAAGATGCTTCTCTCGGATATACATATTTATTATACATATTATTGTTAAAAAAAACAGTGATTTGTAACATTCCATCACACATTATCCCTTACAAATGCGGCTGACTGAATTCCTAATTCCTCTATGTTTTCATTATCCTCTTCAGGCTCTTCTCTCAGTGCATGACATGGTGTCTCAGAAAGAGTTTGACCCTCGTTTGCCTCCTCTGCCCCCACTGCCCGATTACATCGAGAAAGAAGAAGATTCAATCAAGATTGTTCGCTTGGTTAAAAACCAGGAGCCACTGGTGGGTAAATGAGTAAAAACATAGGAAAATAGTCCATGTTGGTTAAAACATGTTTGTAGTAGTAGGAACTCAGCAGTTAATAAGTCATTATGGACCGTCATCATATCTACAATCCATTAGAGAAATCTGCTTCAGCTTTAAATGTAAAGTGCATTGGTCTGCCTTACAACATCAAGATACATTTACAAACTCATTTCTGAAGACTATTGCTTGAAAAGATCATTCATAGATTAACTTTTTCCATGAATTAAACTGTGAGTTATACTTCATGTTTATATTAAGGTACTGAAATTGATTAGGAATCAATTGAAATCAACCGAATCAACTAAAATTGATTACTTCACTGAATTGTTTTTTATTGTAATCAGCATAACACTAATAAGGCACACATTTTTAAGGGTAAGATTTGGATTATAATACTAAAGAGTATCAAAGTGCAACCTGGATCAGTTTTGCCTTCAACTTTACCTCCAGAATCATATTTTCCATCTCTGAGCAAAACCATCTGCACTTACATTTGTGTTGCTTAGATGGGATGCTTTGAATACAAATAGGAAACGCTATACAGCCCTCTGCAAATAAAATGCATGACTTCAGATCGAACCCTCTCAAACATGGTCTATCTTTTTATTGTGGTTTATCCTTCTCATTCTGACGCACAATGTGGCTGTCTTCCCATTCATAATGCATAACTTGTAAAATGCAGATTTTCCCTATTATGAGTCTATAACATCTGGTGAATAATGCTGAAGGCGGCAACCATTTGAATGGAGCTTTATGAATTCCAGAGAATGAATGGAAAAAGCATCATAATTTTTTGACATGACTGTGACGAAGAGTCCCTCCATGCCATCCGCTCGCTAAACTGATTTTTTTCCCATTGTTGTATATCGTGATTGTGATTAGAATGGAATACTCTATGATGAATCAGAGAACAGTCAAATACACAACATTTCCAAGCAGTCTGGTGGGAACAAGAAGATGCAGAGTGTCACTAAATATACTATACTGTTTTATTTCAGTTTTGTTATAATTGAGTTGAGTAAAAGTGACAGTAAAACTTTTACATTGCTACAAAAAAGGAAATTATAAAAAATATATTGTAAATAAATGCTGTTCTTTTGAACTTTACATTTATCAAAGAATCCTGAAAACAAAATGTATCATGATTTGCACAAAAAATAGTTAGCAGTACAACTCTTTTCAACATAAAAAATAATAAGAAATGTTTCTCAATCACTAAATCAGCATTTTTGATAAATATCTGGGTCATGTGACACTAAAGACTGGAGTAATGACTGCCAAAATTTCAGCTTTGCATCACAGCAATAAATTAAAACTGCATGCAGCATTGAAAGGGCCCTCGCACCCGGGCCCACCGCCACCCGGTGGCTTTAGAAAAACAGTGAATGGTGAGCAATATGAATTTAAAGCGGTAGATATAGGAGGAATATGCCAGTCATTTATATGTGCCAAACTTCCTGTTGTCAGCTGGTGACGCTATGACTATAAATTAATGTGGGCATGTAGATTTTTATCAAACATATGAAATTTGGTGCAGATTGGACATTGTATGTTTAAGTTAGTGTAAAACAAGTCGTTTCCTGTTGCCAGCAGATGATGCTATGATTATAACTGAATATTGGCCTTTACATGTGTTCAGACTAGGACTCTTATCAAATGTGTGAAGTTTGGAGCAGATCGGACATTGTATGGCTGAGTTACAACAACTTCCTTTTCCATGTCGAAAAATCGACAAAAAATTTTCAGGCCACCACAGACAAGCCCTTCAACGAAAACTCAAGATCTTCGCAATTTAACGTCACAAATGGCTTTAGATTACACTGACCAAATTTGGTGTTGATCTGTTTAAATTACTAGGAGGAGTTTGTTTAAATACAATGCCGTAAAATGGCACAAAACTTGAAACGAGAAAATTCAAAATAACAGATTGCCTGTTGGGTTTCGGACTTCATACCAGGAGACTTTTTTGTAGGTATTGGTGAGTTACATGTGTCTACCAAATTTTGTGCATGTATGTGAAACATAGCTCAAGGGGTACTTCGTTGAAATTTTATAGGTGGCGCTATTGAGCCATTTTGCCACACCCACTTCTGAAACCCATGTCAAATGTAAATTTTCGCAACTTCTGGCACGTGTGCAAAGTTTCATGAGTTTGAGCATGTTTAGGCCCTCAAAAATGCACTTTATTTTGGAGAAGAAGAAGAAGAAGAAACTGAGCAATTCCAATAGGGTCCTTGCACTGCGGTGCTCAGGCCCTAATTACAATTTCTATTTCGAATCAAATATATTCAAATAGAAATTGGAATTTTATTGTAATTTTATTGTAGTTAATAATATTACTATTTTTAATGTATTATTACTATATTTACTGTCTTTTGGATTGTTTCAGTGGTTTGGTATAGAATACATTCAGTTTCTTGTTTCTCAACTTTGCTGCATAGTGACTGTCTACATGACATCTGAAACCAGTGCTCTGCCATCAACCCAGTAGCATGCTAACAAACAAAAAGTGCCTGCAGTTCCCGTCATCAGAGTTGGTCTGTGCTCGATGTTCCAGCAAAAATATTTGTGGTTTACAGGGACTTGTGTAGTGGAAGTCAGACCTGGCAGATGGGGGTTACCTTACAAATGATGATCAGTGATGTTGCCATGGGGCTACATTAACCTTAAATCTGACTGTTCTCTCTTTGAGCAGGCTATTTTAAAGAGGCACAGACCAGAACCCATCTGTTTTTCCCCACACCATGAGTAGAGAGTTATAAACATTGGGCCATGGCTTTTCCAATTTCTATTTAAGATGCATGAGAAGGAACTAAAAAGTTATCCACAATCTGAAGAGATCTTTTTGTCTTACTTATAGGGGGACTTAGCCCTGCGATTAAGGACTACAGGCCATTTTGGCTTCTCCCCTGGTTGAGAAACTATGCAGGGCCCCTAACTCCTATATCATTGTCCCTTGTAGCATCATTTACCTCATTGTCTGCTTCTGCACAGGCTTGTTAAAGCTTGGCCTCCTGAAAACAGTTATCTAAGAGGCCTTTAAAGGATTAAAATATCACCATAGTTTGGACTAGAGTGGTATTGTGGCCACGGTCAGTGTACTGATTGTCTTGGGAGATGATGTGTATGAAATGAAATATTTGGTACATGATTAAAACAGAAATGATTTTTCTATTCAAGTGATGTGAGATGGTGCTAATGGTTATGGAATTGTAGAAAAACACAGACATGTGTCTAATTCATCAAGGTCAAATCTGATGTGTGTTTAGATCCAATGAACCTGAAAGATTAATTTCATTGGCCGCTGAATTTTCCTTCACACATTAAAAGAAAACGGATCAGATGTTTGACATATAATGTCAACAATCTGTGTGATTTAAACAAAAGCTTTTTTGTCCTAATTTGAGCTTTCATGAATAGGGTTTCCCTCGTTAAGTTGGACTTTTTCACCATGGTTTCAAGCAACATTTAATGTTCAGCTCTCACTGCACAACATGCTTAAGATTCCTGTTGTGATATTCACTCCTGTATCACCCTTTCTAAAGATATTTCTGTGCCGATTTCTGCTTGGACATAACTCACTCACATATTGATTTACAAGGCAAACTGGGAATGTTTGCTTGCAATTGGTCCCTCCAGATATATGAACTTGAGCTTTACAGTCAATTTGCTTTTTGGAACTTTAATATTCAAATTTCTGAATGATAGCCTGCAGAACCTCAGTAAACATTTCTATGTTCCAGGGAGCCACCATCAAGAGAGATGAGTCCACTGGAGCTATAGTGGTGGCTCGAGTCATGAGAGGAGGAGCTGCTGATCGAAGTGGTGAGAAACATTTTTAATGTATTAATATTAAAACCTAATTAGAACCAAAATCAGTATATAGACATAGGAGAACACTTAAAGTTGACACGAAATGGAAATTCACCACCTTATTGATCTTATTGTGAATGATTCATCCATACTGTACATATGTTTCATTTTTACTTATAGCTCATAATTTTCATAATCATAACTGCCGTGACTTTCCAGTCATTTAGTCCACTAAGCTTACATTCAGATCTGCAGCCATCTGATATTTTTTTCTTGGATGTACATCACAATATGAAACAAAAGATCTGTCGCTACTCAAAAGTCTTGCTTTAAATATGCATGGCACAGTCCTATACCAATGCTTATAGTTCCTGGTTAAGCTCTTGATTAAATTCACTCCACATTGTTTAACATAATTGTATAATTTGGCTGAAACTTTCTTCTCATTGGTTCATTATTGGTTAATACTACAGGTCTAATTCACGAAGGGGACAAGCTCAAGGAAGTCAATGGTGTTCCAATGGAGGACAAGAACCCAGAGGAGATCATTCCCATACTAGTATGCATCGCAGATTACCAGCATGTGTTGCATTTTGGAAGCTGGTTCCCAGCATAGGATGGTATTGTGTTGGTGTCCCCACAAGACATTTTAACTAGCTTAACCAGCAAACCTCTCTTGGTTAACATGACTATGTTGTCTAGACCAGAAACCAGCAATATCCAAAATAGAAAGTGATGTTAGTCAGCTGTATGTGTAAATGTTTTTAAGAATTTGGTATGTTTGTGCATTTGTTGCTGAGGGTTTTCTGGAGGATAACAAATCTGCATTCTGTTTTTATTCATAAGTGTTATTGAATCTGAACGTTGTAAGCTTGTTTTGGGCCTGTATGTTATTATCACATCTTCCAGGCCAAGTCAGAAGGAGCAGTGACCTTCAAAGTCATCCCAGGCACCAAAGAAGAGCCAGAGACCATAGATAACAAGGTCTCATTATTAAAATAAAGTGTACAGAGCTGTTTTCTAAATTGATTTACACTCCAGATAATTAAAACCAAACTTGGTGACATCACAATGTATTTGTGGATTTTTGCAGATCTTTGTAAGGGCACTTTTTGACTATAATCCCCAAGAAGATCCTGCTATTCCATGCAAAGACGCCGGGTTGGAATTCTGGAGGGGAGATGTGTTACAGATTGTAAGCCAAGAAGATGACACCTGGTGGCAGGCCAGACGGCACGGTGACGCCAATCTCAGGGCTGGATTGATTCCCTCAAGACAGCTTCAGGAAAGGTAAGAAAACTTACATAATCATACTATTGCAAAGTTTCAACTCCAAGTCTAGACTGAGAAACTAAATCCTTCTGTTGTCAGAGTCATACACAGACTTTGTCAGTCAGACTCAGATCCTGTCATCATGTTCCCAATGTTGAATTAGACACAGTCAAGGGCAACACAATCTGACACTCCCTTAGTCAAACTTTCACTCATAAAAAGAAAAACAATCAGTGTCATCAAAAATGTGTCTTTTGTCTGGACAGTTGGTGCCTATAAATGACACCAAGTGATGAGAATATATCAGCCTGCATAGATTTTGTTATTTGTGTGTCTTTGAGTTAATGACATGAAAGTGTCATTACTGAAAGGTTTACTAAATAACTTGATGTAGTCTCAACATAAGATGACACGTTCACCACAGTCCATTCACTGACCGTCTGAGGCCAGTTCCCACAAACTGTTAAGCATGTTCTTAAACTGGCATACTGGCTTAAACTGGCAAACAGTCTGGTAGTTGATCAAACAAGTACATCTGAGGGTGAAATAATATGCCAGGTATAGCTATATTCTGAGAAAAAGAGTTTTGTTTGTGAATTGGTCTTTTTATTTCTTATTATAGAGTTATAGAAGATAACAGATTCTATTTACATTATATGCTATTGTTTTGTGATATACTACACACTACTGTTAAAACGTTTGGAGTGTCAGTAAAGACGTTGTTACATTGTTACAAAACATTAATTAAAGACCGTTCTTTTGAACTTTCTATTCATTAAAGAATGCTGAAAAATATCTTTGTTTCCACAAATATTAGGCAGCACAACTGTTTATAACTGTGATGATAATAATAAGCAATGAGTACCAATTTAGCATAAAAGAATGATTTCTGAAGGATCATGTGACACTGAAGACTAGAGTAATGACTGCGAGAAAATTCAGCTTTGCCATCGCACAAATAAATTACATTTTAAAATATAGTCAATATATTGCACTATTACGGTTATTACTGCAATTACAATTCTTACTTTTTAACTATAGTGAATTTAAGCCAGAATAGGCTTCAGTGTCAACCAGACCTATTAATGTTTGTGTCAAATGTTTTGACTATGAGCGACTGAACTTCTTTTGACTTTGAAGAGACAGCTTTACAATATTTATGAGGAACTTCCTATGTTTCCCTACAGGAGAGTGACTTTACAAAGGCCTGCAGTTCTGTTCCACCCACTGAGAGAGTCAGTTATATTCAGTGGTAAGCTCAGAAATCCAAGCAGTATTGAAACAACATGCAGATAAGACAGCGTTTGAAATATCCAAATGCTAAATATTCACTCTCTCTGGCCCTGTCCCAAATGGTGCACTTTATGCGCACCAGCAAACCTTTAATTGCTGCCATGCATACTTGAGCCCAACATGGCAGTAGGGTGTTCCTTTTGTCATTTTAGCTGCTTTGGAGGCATGCAGCCCTCATTGTGCACTTTTTCTGAAAGTCTCACTCAGCTTAGGCCATCATTTGGGACAGAGTCTGTCTCATGTGAAAACTGGAAGTCCAATTCATTTTTATTAGTTTTTTTTTATTAGTTCATTTAAATTCGTTACTTAAAAAAAGATCTCTGCACAGACATCTACACTGCATTCAATTTTACCAAATAGTATACTGTATATGCTATATGAAGGCATAAAACAAAACAACTAACCTATAAGACATAAAATTATCAGAACACTTTTCAGGGTAATTTTAAACAAATACAGCATGCATTGTTAATTTAGAGCTCCTGTTGGATTAAATATATAAACAAAGAGCATCCCACTCTGTGTTAAAGAGTGATGTGGAAATGGAGTGATGTCACACTTTCACCCTGGCCACAGCATGATGGACAATTGGACTGAACGTCCATGTCTTGCCCCTTGGCTGCCATTGCATTGTGGCTAAAGACAAGACCACACACATATTGTAAGCTTTGGATTTATGCTGCTTACCTCGTAAAAGCATGTTTGTTCTCTTCCAAAATGATTACATTTTCCTTTCTATTCTCAATTTACGGTACATTCATCAAAAAAAAATAAAAGACCTTGTCATCTCAATGTTTACATCCTAAAGCCACCAAATGAAAGATTAGAGATGAGCAAAGGTTTATCTAAAAAGTGTATCCTAAAGCAAAGGGCAGGTTTATCTAAAATAGATTATGAAGTAAAATAAATTCCATCTGTCAAACAGTCAGTCTATTTATCCTCATTGGACCCCATATGCCCCTGCATCTAGTCAGCCAATCAGTTTAGAGCTTGTCAGATAGAGAATGTACACTCAGGTCCTGTGAGTAATATGCAGAAGCGGTCAGTGAACTAACTGTGAGGGTGCAGTCTAACTCTGTGACCATGATGCTCCAAATTTAGGCAGTAAAAACGACATCACATGTTCACTGATTATACAGTAAGATTGATTGATGAAGTGCTAGGCCTTTTGCTGTATCTAAATGCAGCTTCTTTCTTTAACAAATAGCTATGATGCCTGTGTAACTTCAGAATGAGAATGTATTTCCTGATTATTAGAAATCTCTACAAAATGTCAAAAACTTTTTTTTTATTGTTGTGAGTGCAACATCTGATTGACTCTCTCTCTCTCTCTCTCTCTCTCTCTCTCTCCCCCTCTCCCTCTCTCCCTCTCCCTCTCCCTCTCCCTCTTGCCCTTTCATTCACACTGAAAAGACAGCATGGAAGGTAATTTTTCATCCTTTTCAGCACGGCCACATAACAGTAACCCAGCTCTAATTTGCCAGTATTTTTGTCTTAGTTTACATCAAGTTTAAAAAACAGTAACATTGCAAATTACCCCTTTCTTTCACCACTTCTTGATTAAGGGTTGCCCAGACTCCATCTCACATTTATCATTATTTGATCAGAGTGCACTTTTTTCTCTTTTCTCTCTAACCTTCTTTCACTCAATAACCAGAGGATGTGGATTATGGAGCAATAAGTGGCATACATATAGGTGAGAATATATTTGTCTGAATTTTATTTGTAACCTCCTAGCCTGGTATTCATACTTTAAACATTGTAAGCACATAGCCATTGAGTCTTAAAGTTCCAAACGCACACACGCACACACACACATTACTTTTTTCACTCGTGGTCCACTGCACTACAAGTAATTCCCAGAAAACACATAACATGTTTATACTGAATCAAAATTGCTTTTGATAAAAAATAATCTGTATAAAGATGCATAAATACAAATATACATTTCTGTTTGACCCCACCGCTAACTCAAATGCAACCAGTCACACTCCTTTTTTACAGTATATGTGACTTGGCCTGTTAGCCACAGTGCTGATGAACAAGACCATTGTTAAATATATCCATCTCATCCTGTTCCATTTGTACTTTTGCATTATGTTCCCACACCATTATGAGGATGATGTTTATTCAAGGTGAGGATCATTAGTTTTAGATTTAGTCTGATCTGGTTTGAGCATTCATGCTAATGGGAGAGGCTTTGATGGCTCCAGACTGGGTGCTTTGTGCTGGTCCATTAGTGATAAAGGCCATCTGAGAGCTAAACATGCACTGCGCTCATTTAGCAGCTAGGCTACCGGATGAGTCTAACAGAGACGCGCCTCATTTTCAGCTATTTGGCAACCTTGACCCCACTTCAAATGCCAGCATGTCCACAGCTAATCTCCAGGACACACAATGGCCAAACTAGCATCAGGACTGCTGTGGTCAATCAAGAAAACATGCTTAAGACATTACAATGGGACCAAGCCATACTGGGCTTATTTTGCCAGCTCCAAAATTTCAGATTTATCACAGCAGCAGCTCAGCAAGCATGTGATGGAAAATTGGATGCCTTTGCCACAGATGGAGAGCTCTGGTAGCACTGGATGCTTTTTGAGCAATTGTCAACATTCTTCTATAAATCTATTCAGCAAAGCCCTTGCTAAAATTTAGAGGTGCTGTTCAGAGTAACCACGTGGAGATACAAGGCCCAGGGTATTGTGGGATATGAAAAGGGTCATGAGGGAGAGGTGTGGTGGGATATTAAACTGGGGAAACCTGGAAAAGGTATCAGCAAATCCCAGTAAGATCCAGACATGGAAAAACAGAGACGCATTAAAAACAGGCTCTATTTACAAACCAGATTATTTAATCAGTATGCAGTCCCACATGCTACAAAGAGCCAATAGTTAATGCATGCTTGAAACTCCAGAAAGCTTGCTTACTTCTCCAGATCTTTTGAATGTTTTCGGTGTCAGGTAGCCGCAGCTCATGTGCATTAGCAGACTTCGGTAATATGGCAACTGAAAGTCTTCGTCAAACAGATAATGGTTTTAGCATGCAGTCTGGTGTAACCAACCGCATATGATATATGTCATACTTTTTATGTACCGTTTGTGGCAGATAATGTGGACTGTGCACTTGATGAGGTTGCGTGCCGTGTGGTTTCTGAAGAGGCATAACAAAGCGCTCCCTGTCATATTAGTGGATTGTCTGTCCAAATTCCACTGCATGGGATATATGGTGTCTGTGTTGGCTCACTGCTTGCACGTTAAATCGCTATCGACGATTTAATGGCTCATCAGGGTGGCTACATGCATTGCTCCAGGAACGTGAGGGCAGCAGTCTGGGGGTATAGAGGGTATCCAGTGTGTTTTGGAGTACCTCTCACTCTTTCTAAAAGGTATAGTGCACCCAAAAATAAAATTTTTATTAAAGATCTGTCTCTTCTGTATTGTGATGCACATCTGAGTGTAACAGATTATGAAAAAAAGAAGAAAAAAAGAAGAAGGGCAGGGATTCATAGTCGATTATGGAAGGGCAGGGTTTAAGCAGGCTAAATAATTAGAGAAGTCCAGCATAAGTCAACAGATAGAATCTGTCGTTTTAGTGGAAAATCAAGTTATGGCATTTCAAAGCAAAATTATGAGAAAGAAAGAAAGCATGCATGAATGTATATTTTACAATATGAGTTATCAATATTTGAGTCATCAATATTTTTGTCCAGTTTAAGGAGACATTTTGAATGTATACAGTACATCTGCTAAAATTTTAATTTTGTCAGCTTTTAAGCATAAGTTTTCAAATGTAACAGGCCCCAAATATGATAATTCTTTTGCAATAGACTCCCTAAAATATAAATGCTATATGTTGTCATGTACAAAGACTCATTTGTACTATGTATATACAGTATATACATCCACATACTGTACATTATTGTTTCTCCTCTATGCCCCGCCTTTCTGAAACGCGTCGATTTTTACAAAGCTCATCGGTCTGAAAAGCGAGGTGTGCTGTGATTGGCCAGCTATCCAGTGCATTGTGATTGGCCGAATACCTCAAGCGTGTGACGGAAATGTTACGCCCCTTATCATACTGTGATGCCCTGTCCGGCCGGAGCGACGATTCGAAAACATTAAAACCCATTATAAACGAGGCATTTGTTGCATCCAGTGGGGACATAATTACGGATTATAATGACTTATACTATCTTTTTATGCATTGTATCACGCCGCGTAAACATAAAACCATGTCTGCATTTGTGATCGGAGAAATGACAAACAACAAGTGCTACTCTACTGCCCAAAAACTCACTTTAAATATAAAAACTCTTTAAATATAAAAAAACGTACTTACAGTCTGTGAGTCAAAACAGACGGCATTGTAGTCTACTCTCCCAGGATCAGGAAACAGTCCTCCATAAAATGTGCTGCACACATCTGAATATTTGGGTTGAA